AGTCCCATCACGGAGACGCCAGTCTGGACATCCCCGCCTCCTCTGACACTGTCGGGTCCGATCGGAGAGGGGTCACCGCCTCCTTCAGCGCACAGGAGGGGGGCGGAGCCCGGCTCAGGTGAGAAGACCCCGTCCGCGAGAGTTGTGATGGCGCGCGCGCGGGCGCGCTCACGTGGAGACGGTTGGGCACCAGGGTCGCGCCCAGGCGTCGGGGAGCGCGCGGACGTGTACCGGTGCCCCCCGCCTACGCTCCCTGTTCTCCTGAGGGGGTATTGTTACCCTTCGGAGCCGAGGGGCCCGGCGGGTGGGAGGCGGGTTCTTCTGCGCAGGCGTCCCCGGTGTCCCGACGCCAGGCTGTCTGCCTGCCGGGTGGGGCGGGGGCTGGTACCCCGGCGGATCTCGGGCTGGCGACGGAGGTTACCGGCGTGGGGAGGGAAAGGCCTCGGGACCACCGGCCTGGCGTGATGACTAGAGGATCTGCTGCCCGGCGGGATGGGGTCGGACGGCTCCCTGGCCCCGGTCCTGGGTCTTCCTGAGCGACGAGGTTTCACTTCCCCGGAGCAAGGCCACAGGCTGTCTGCAGTCGGGAGCCGGCGGCGACCCTGGTGGGGCGGAGTCGGTGTTTTGGAATGCCCCAACTGACTAAATTCAGTTGGCCTGTGTTGAATGCCCAGGCTTCGTGCAAGGAGCTATGGGGGATGCGGTGGGTGGGCACGGCCGTCCCATCTTCTTCCTCTGTTTGGAGGACAGTGTGTCCATAACTACTAATGTAAGGCAGTGAATTACTGGGAGGTTGGAGGTTAGATCTTTCTTTCAGAATGGCCATTTTATTGTATTAAGTCGATCTGCATTCCAGCATAGTGGGGCGTGTTGTAGACGTTAATTTCGGTATAGAGGGCAAATCCTAAATATTTAATTTGGAGGAAAGATTTTAAGTAAAGGCACAGTACTTAGTCTTGGTTACTAAGTAGTATGCTGTGGTTTTTGTTAATTTGCTTTAATAGAAGACACTCTTCACCGTCAAGAATTGAAGCAAAAATATTTCCAGAACATGAAAATATATTTTTTCAATTGTATTAAGTAGGGGTTGTTACATACATTTGGCTCTTTCTTTAGATGTTGAAGAGAATTCTTTGCCTTGTCGTTATTGGCGATTTGTTGTCCTTGTATGGGCTGTCTTGCCTTAGATAAAGTTAAAAGGTAGACTAGGCACCTCATCGTTTTTCTGGAGAACTTGCTTTTCATTTGCCTAAAGTCTTGTGATTTCTGTGGTGAGGGTGGCTGGCAGTTAGCTAAAAGTGTGGAGAGGGAAGAGACCAAATGGGGAGAAAAGAAAGAATTTTAGAGAAAAGTTCCTAAGTCAAAGGAAGGCCTTGCACTATTCCTTTAACCTTTCTGGAAATCTCAGCAAACTTGGGAAGAAGGACCTGGCCACTGCAGCCAGCTTGGTGACCGGATATGACTAACCTATCCTGAGCCCTTGGGTTTTGCTGAATAAATGGACCAGGATTTTTTGAAGAGTCCTGAAGTCAACTTGTTTTCTGGAGATTTGCCTTTTTTCTTCCTCTTAAAAGGTGCGTCAAACCAACTTTCATTTAGTTGAGGATGCTGGCAAACTGGAGGCTGGTTAATTGCGGCGTCTCTTAACAAAATTCTGAAAGTGGTAAGACTTAGAAGAAAGGTGTCTTTCTTTCTTTCTTTTTTTTTTTTTGGTTTTGAGACAGTACCTTGCTCTGTTGCCCAGGCTGGCACAATCATGGCTCACTGCAACCTTGACCTCCTGGGCCAAAGTTTTACCTTAACCTCCCAAGTAGCTGAGGATACAGGTGTGTGCCACCACACCTGGCTAAATTTTGTTTATTTTTTGGTAGAGTTGGGGTCTCAGCCAGGCATGGTTGGCTCATGCCTGTAATCCCAGCACTTTGGGAGGCAGAGGCAGAAGGATTGCCTAAACTCATAGGTTCAAGACCAGCCTGGGCAATTTGGTGAGACCTCATCTCTACAATAAATCAAAAAAATTAGTCGGGTGTGGTAGCGCATGCCTATAGTTCCAGACTTGGAAGGCTGAGGTGGAAGGATCACCTGAGCCCAGCAGGCGGAAGCTGTGGTGGCTGTAAGTGTGCCACTGTTTTTCCAGCCTGGGCAACAGAGTGAGACTATGGCTCTTAAAAAAAAGAAAGAGAGGGTCTCAAATTCCTGGCCTCGAACAGTTCTCCCGCTTTGGCTTCCCAAGTGCTGCAATTACAAGTGTGAGCCACCATGCCCAGCAGAAAAGCATTTTATAGTGGGATGTATTCCTAAATATGGGGTCAGCACACTCTCTAAAGAGACTTTGTACGAGATTGTCCCGAGAAGTGGAAGTAATAAAAAAAAAATCACTTGACTATCAAAATGCTTGTAAACATTTTAGTATTTAAAGTACTTAGCATGAATTATATCAAATTGGAGACTTAAAAATATCTTGTATCCAGTGATATTGACAAAACCTGCTTTGGTACTGACACAGAATCTTGAACCTGCCTCAAATTATTCTTGGAAAGGGAAAAAAGAACCCAAGGTATTGATTCCAAGTTAGCTTTCAGTTCCTTCTGTCAGTTTTAAGCATATGATTTTTCTTTTACTGTGCTTAACATTTACTTCTCAAATATAGTTGTCTGGAAGAGCCAGTTAAAGTTAGTGTAGCAGGTGGGATGGAATGTAACACTACACTGCACCTTTTGTCTAAGTATGAAGTGAACTTCTCATATGATAAAGGACCAGCTGTTTCTGAGTTACTGTTGCTCTTTACAATTGTTTTCATCATCTTCACCACTGAATAGTGACTTTTAATCTTAACATCCAGTTTTGGGGTACTTTTCATTTTAATAACTGTATATATTTGCTAAAAGCTTTGATTTCTTGACAGCTCACACAGATTAGGAATTGTGTAGGAGTACTGACTTTATTACAATATTGCAGATATAAATTGATTACTATCCAAAATTATTTTATCTTGTCTGTTAAGCACAGTAAAAGACAATTTTCCTTCTGATTTTCTAAGATATTTGAATGATATGTTTAAGGTTCCAGTATTTTCATGATTCTAACACACATTTTGTTTACATTTTACTTTCCTCGGAGACCGGATGCCATAAGTAAGCATGATGCTGTAGCTTAATTGGTGACTTTTTTCTTTCCTTGTGTTACATGAAATGAGATAATGTATTTTATAATCACTGGCATCTTAGATTTAATGAAATTTGATACAATTAAAAGACTTTGGAGCCGGGCTCAGTGGCTCAGCCTGTAATCCCGCACCTTTGGGAGGTTGAGGTGAGTGGATTGCCTGAGCCCGCGGGTTCGAGACCCGCCTGGGCAACTTGGCGAGACCTCATCTCTACAATAAATCAAAAATTAGTCAGGCATGGTAGCGTGCGCCTGTAGTTCCAGCTACTTGGAAGGCTGAGGCGGAAGGATCGCCGGAGCCCAGCAGGTCGAGGCTGCGGTGGCTGGGAGTGGCCACTGCACTCCAGTCTGGGTGACAGAGTGAGACTCCAACTCAAAAAAAAAAAAAAAGACTTTTGGCCCAGGGTGGTGGTACACACACACCTGTAGTCACAACTGCTCAGGAGGCTGAGACAGGAGGAGGATTGCTTGGGTGTGAGACCAACTTGAGCAACATGGCAAGATCCTGCCTCCCAAAACAAACAAACGAAAAACTTTTGCACCTCACCCAATTAATTCATTGTCATTGTAACCAATGCATTTTCCAAATTTGCCTTTGTGCTCTGGAAAAAGTTTGTTATTGTAAAGAAGTCTATTGAAAGAGATATTTTTCCTTTATATAAATGGAAATTAAAACTTTTTTTTACAAACTTTAAAGGATGATTAATTGATTGTCTACTTTTTGGAAATTATTCTTGGTAGTTTGTTATTTTATATACCTGGTAACATAGGTTTACAAATGCTTTATTTCCAACTTCTTTTCTTTTTTTTTTTTGAGTTGGAGTCTCACTCTGTCGCCCAGGCTGGAGTGCAGTGGCACACTCACGGCCACCGTAGCCCAACCTACTGGGCTCAGGCGGTCCTTCTGCCTCAGCCTTCCAAGTAGCTGAAACTACAGGCACACGCTACCATGCCTGGCTTATTTTTATTTATTTTTGTTGTAGTGATGAGGTCTCACCATGTTGCCCAGGCTGGTTTTGAACCCCTGAGTTCAAGCAGTCCTCTCACCTGGGCCTCCCAAAGTGCTGGGATTACAGGCTTGAGCCACCATGCCCAGCCTACGATTTCCAACTTCTTAAGTTTAAAATGATTGGGATGAATTGCCCCCACCCTTTCTATACATGATACTGTTAACATGGTGTAATTGATTTTTCAGTACATCTCACATGTATATGTGTGTGTGTGTATATAAATTAGTTAAGTATAATTTTTTTAAAAAGTCAACTATCTACCTTTTTTTTTTTTTTTTTTTTTGAGTAGGAGTCTCACTCTGTCGCCCAGAATGGAGTGCAATGGCCGCGCCCGGCCACCGCAGCCTCCACCTGCTGGGCTCCGGTGATCCTTCCGCCTCAGCCTTCCAAGTAGCTGGAATTACAGGCATGCGCTACCACACCCGGCTGATTTTTTGATTTATTGTAGAGATGAGGTCTCGCTGCCCAGGCGGGTCTCGACCCCGCGGGCTCAGGCAATCCACTCACCTCAGCCTCCCAAAGGCGCGGGATTACAAGCTGAGCCACCGAGCCGGCTTCTATCTACCTTTTAAAATGCAAAGTTTTCACCTTTGTAGTCTTTATGTTTTAGTCTCTTCTGCAAAGCAGATCTGAGGAAGGAGGACAAAGAAAAAAACCTTGCTGTGAGTTCAGTTGTGAGAGGAACCCAGAATTGCTACAAATATCTGAACACATTTAGTTACATGTATTGTATTTTATTTTCAGCAGATGATCAAAAGTAACTCAGCAGGTCAAGTATAGGTCACTTGCTGAGTACTATTGATTTGATAAATGATTGAGAAGTTAAGGAGTCTTCTGCTTTGAAAGTAAACTTGATATAAGAAATGGATTAAATCCACTTTTTATCTTTTCTACTTGAAAGGAACCATAATAATAGTGACTCCAATGCTTTGACATAGCTTTC